GTTCCTTCAGTCGATACACAACATCGCGTAAATCACCAAGCAACAGATTCACAAATGGAGTGTGCGGATCATCATGCCAGAGAAAATATTTGCAGTCAATTCCCTACACACATAGAGCAAACAATTACCAACAAAATAAGAAGCAAACACATCAGAAGCAATAGATTAGCAGATGAAAATTTAGTAGGCAGAGAAATACCAGAGAAGTATATTATTCCGAAGGTTCAGACTTCAGACAGTGGTGTACCATGGGTGGTGTGTGTGTCAGATGTTGTACTGGTTCACCAATGTGTTAGCTTCAGCTTGTGTTACCTTCAGACAGTGGTATATGCAGTCTCGGATCAGATTACCATCAAATCGTACGCGCCCACGGTAATACAAGCCTACGCAGCTAGCTTGAACTGCTACCCCGGAGCGGAACGCCATGCCTACCCGCCCATCCGCACCAGGTACCTGATCGGGTCCTCGCACGGCTGGCTGCTCACCGCCGACGATAGGTCCGAGAGGGTGACCAGGCTGTTGGAACCACCCGAGACGACGCCATTGCTTCTGGAGGTCGACGGCGAGAGGAGAGCAACGAGAATAGAGGAGAAGCAAGGGTTCATCCGTGGATTCAGGTTGGGATTGGCCGAGAAGCCTAGGGTTCGTCCGCTTGATTGGGGATTTTTTGCGTGAGAGAGAGGGAAACAGAGGAGAAGCAGGGGATAACTGACTAATGGGACCCACACTGGCCTACTCAGCGTTCTTTACCCAGTCAGCGCCTAATCAGAATCATGGGGGGACAAAAACCGCTCCAAATTACATATAAACCGCTCAAGAGGGTTATTAACCCGGTTTGAGTAATTTTAGGGTGTTATTTGTCCCGGTTTTGAGTTCAGTGGGGTATGTATCCCAAAGAGTGAATTTGAGGGTGATTTGTATACTATCGTCTGCACAAATATTTCGTCTTTGCGCAAACAGGCCACGCGCTCAAGGCCTACTAACTGCAGCCCAGTGGCTAGTCAGCCATTTAGTGCGGCGAGTCCAAACCACGGCTCGCCTGCAGGGACTAGTACTAGCCAGGACCAGTAACAGCGTGCCAAGTCAAAAACAATGTTTATACAATGTAAAACATGTTCGTGTATTTCAAAAACAAATGTTTCGTAGATTAAAAAAATGTTACATTTGCAGACATGATCACGAATTTCAAAAATTGTGTTTGTGACATTTCAAAAATGTTTGTACAATGTAAAGAAATGATTGCATAGTTCAAAATATAGTATTTTATCATCCATAAATTCTTCCATTGTGTATTTCAAAAATGTTTAACATGTATTTACAAAAAATCAAAACATTTTTTGTAAAAATGTTAATCATATATTTGAAAAATGCTAAAATGTGTATAAAAAATATTCTAGATGTATATGAGAAATGTGCACCGTGAGATGAAGGACCTTGGTGTATACGAGAAACGTGTACGAGGAGGTCCAGTCGTTTTTATCTCAGAACTTTGAGATGAAGGACCTTGGTGTGGCTAATGTTATCTTGAACATCAAGCTACTGACAGATAATGAGGGTGGGATCACACTTCTGCAATCCCATTATGTTGAGAAGGTGTTGAGTCATTTTGGATACTCGGACTGCAAACCATCTCAAACAGCATATGATCCTAGTGCGTTGGTTTGGAAGTTCGAAGGCACGGCTAAGGATCAACTGAGATACTCTCAAATCATTGCTTCACTCATATATCTGGCGAGCGCAACGAGGCCTGACATTGCGTTTGCTGTGAGCAAACTGAGCCGGTTTGTTTCGAACCCGGGTGATGTGCATTGGCATGCCATTGAGAGAGTTATGCGCTATCTGAAAGGTACTATGAACTACGGACTTCACTATACGGGATACCCGTCGGTACTTGAAGGGTATAGTGATGCGAATTGGATCACTGATGCTGATGAGATAAAGGCCACAACCGGGTATATGTTTAATCTTGGAGGTGGCGTTGTTTCCTGAAAGTCTTGCAAGCAAACGATCTTAACAAGATCGACAATGGAAGTAGAATTAACAGCATTAGACACGTCTGGTGTCGAACCAGGACGGCTTCGAGATCTTTTGATGGACTTGCCATTGGTTGATAAACCTGTTCTGACTATTCTTATGAACTATGACAATCAGACTGTCATCACCAAGGTGAAGAGTTCAAAGGACAATATGAAGTCCAACAGACACATAAGAATGAGATTAAAAGCTGTCAGAAAATTAAGAAACTCCGGACTCATAGCGTTGGAGTATGTCCATACGGCTAAGAATCTGGCAGGTCCCTTTACAGAAGGGCTATGACGTGTTGTGATAGATAGTGCATCGAGAGAGATTGGTATGAGACCCACATGAGTTGCCATGGTGGTAACCCAACCTATGTGATCGGAGATCCCGTGAAGTAGGACCTGGGAGCGATCTTTGGAGGACTATTGTCTTAATGTGTTCCAAAGCTTATGTAAGCAAGATGCTATTCTACAGAGCGATCTTTGGAGGAACACGCCTATATGAGCCCGACTGCTGGTCACAGTCTATGAGATTGGGGTGATCTCTAGTAAACTCATGAATATGCCAGGAGTGTGACTTATATGCTCCACCTGAGGGGTCAGCATTCGGCAGCCTAGTACTAGTAAGACATGTGGTGAAGCTTCTTTACGCCAAACTGACAATTCAAGGTATAGTCCATTGTTCAGTTGTGAAGAAGTGTAGCTACTTGCTCTAGGTGAAGCTCAACTTTAACAGGTCTTCACTAAAACACTGGTATATCGAAACAACAATTGGAATAGAGGACACAATGGGCCCTCGAGATCTGGTGAGAGATTGCTAAAATTTGGGGTGGGCTTTAGGCCCATCTAGCAATTTCTAAAAATCTCTAAGGGCCCATGTGGGTTTATTGATACTAGGTGTAGTGGGAAGTTTAGTCTCACCCCGCGAGTGGAGGAGTTGGACCTCTTTATAAGGAATTGGCTTGCAGATGCTATTGGAGCTTGAGAATAGAAAAGGTCCTCGCGTGCTCCTCCTCCGCCGCCCGCCTCGCCACACCACGCCTCGTCACGACGCGTCGCGCCGTGGGAATGAGCCGAGCCGAGCTCACACCTATGCGCTTATTTTTGCCAGTCACTAAGGGAGAGTTTCTGACAGCTAGGCCATGATCTGAGACGTCGGATCGTGGGCTGTCACGGACTCGAACGTGGGTCGAGCCCACGTCTCTTCACGCGGTTGTGCCTATACATCAGAGTCAGAATGTCGTACGTGGACGCCAATCGTTGCACATCTGCTCCACGCGCACGCCAAACGTTCCACATCTGTTTGCTTAGTGCGTGCATGTTTAGATCAGAGTCAGAATGTCGTAAATGCAGTCAATGCCATACTAGTGATTTATCTATGGATTAAGGGAGTGTTCGGAGGCACTCCGCTCTCAGACTCGGCTCGCCGAGTCAGCGGAGTCGTAGGCTAAAATACTGGAGCTGAAAAGTAGGTGCTCCGCAACTTCTCTAATTTCACGGGTCTAGTGGATATTCAAACAGGGCCTAAATTAGTTACAAAATTGTTTATTTAGGCTCTGCTCCTGGAGCAGCCGGAGCGGAGCGGCCCGCAGCGCATTTTTCTGGAGTCGTCAAACTGGCGCTCCGTCCGCTGGAGATAGGGATGGCAATGGGTAGGGTATGGGCGGGTACAAACTCCTTCTACCCAAACCCATACCCATAGAAACTTTTTATACCCACCCACTTCAATACCCATGGGTATAAACTGACACCCATGCCCATACCCATCGGGGTATCCTATACCCAATGGGTATCCATTGGGTGCAATATATAGCATTCAAATTCTTAAGAGGTAGAGAAATGAGTTTAAAATTCAAATGACCATGGTAGAGTAGTATAGCACGTATGTGGCCTCCTTCAGCGGGTGGCCTCTTGGAAGCATCAGGGGAGTATGAGCAGCGGTTGGTGGAAGACCGACGTTGTGGAAGGCGGTGATGGGAATTGGGGATCGCTGGATTGAGTGTTCGACAAGAGTCTGGTAGCAAAGAGTCGATATTTCATCTTTTTGAGGAGTCACATAGGATATATGAGGAGTGGCGAGCAGGTGATTATGAGCCTATGAGCTATGACTTGTTTAAGGAATATGAGATTTAGGGTTGGACCATACGAGTTGGATGCTAACCCCACATGTTATAGGAGTTATTTTCATTTATTAATTTTTTTGGGTATCTATTGGGTTACCCATGGGCACAATTTCTTGCCCATGCCCTATCCATATATTTTACGGGTATGGGTACCCATTACCTGTGGGTAGAAAATCTCTTCATGTTTTGCCCATACCCATTGTTTTCGGGTAGGGTGCCCGCAGGTACCCGTACCCAGGGCAAAACTGCCATCCCTAGCTGGAGAGCTGCCGAATGGAGCGTATACACAACCAGCATGCGCCCACCAATCACATGCACCAGTGGATCGCCACATGCATAAGCCTGATTCGACCCGACAACCCCACTAATTAAGAAAACAAGAGACGGGAGAGGAGGACAGAGGTCCGCTGTACCACGCTAGTATCTCGATCGGGGGTTCCGCGCTTCCGCTGCACGTTACCCCGCCGTTCCTAGGTGCCATGGATCGCCTATAAAATACGCGGACACGCCATGTGTTGAGCCCATCGATCCGCGCTGACCCCTGTCATCGGGTGTTCCACTTTGCTTCCACCACTAGCTAGCTAAGCTCCATCCATCCTCCCATGGCGTCCGTGTGAAGCTCGCCGTGGCGGCGCTGGCCGTCGTCCTCGCGTGCGCCGCGACGCCGGCGGCGGCGTACCGGTTCGAGCCCGAGCCATGCAAGACGCAGGCCATGTACTTCAAGAACTGCCTCCCCCTCGTCGACGTGCCCGAGAAGTGCTGCAGCGTGGTGGCGGACAAGGCGTGCTTCTGCGAGGTGGAGCGGGAGGTGGAGATCCAGTGCGCGCCCGGCCACCACTGCAGCCGCGCCGACAAGAAGGTCAAGATCGCCGAGATGAACCTCCCCTGCCTCAGGAACCTCACTTGCAAGCACGCGTGATGGGATGGGCCGGCACCGCGCGCCTCGCCTGCGTCATCGATCGCCTACCTTAGCTGCTTCCTGCTACTACTACTACAAGTATCGCATGTCTCGTTTGTGCACCGATCGATTTCCACTCGAGTGTGCCTCTTTGGTTTGCTCCGACTGTGCGTGTGTGCTGGTTGTGTGTGATATGATGTTTCTGTCGATGATTACTTGTTTCTCCAAATCGATCGGCATCATCATACGTTTCTATCATGTATGTACTCCTACTTGTTTGTCTGCTATGACAACACTAATTCCTAAGCAATTCTTGGTGCGAGCTAAGCTAACTGTAGTCAAGAACTCAAGATCACACAGCACTAAAATCAACTCATCAATGAAAAATGTCTTTGCAACCTTGCCAGGAACTTCATGTCTACCTGCTGCTTCCTATTGGCCTCCCTGTAGTAGTACTCCACTAGTGGGACGCGGAGTATCTGAGCTCGAGCTCAAATGAGCTTGGATGAGCAGTAAAATATAAAAAATAAATGAAAGCATGTTCAAAAAATTCTAAAAAAAAACTGTGGTATACTTTGACAAATGTTCCAAGTATTTGCAAATTTTTATCATGAGATCATATTCATGGAAGGCGTGACAAAAAAGCAAAATCGATGCTTCGAAAATGTACATTCGCCACTAGGGATCTTTCTTCCTGTGCAAAGGATCAATCGGAATCGTGTGCATAATTTATTTATTTTTGAGGAAAGACAGCCAGGCTCTATTAATAATTCATATGAACATTTACTGGTATAACAAGAGCACCATGGGGTGAACCCAACCAAAATATGTCTCCCCTGAGGAAGAGTAGTACCAAGCCTATCTATCTTATGAGCTTCATGATTTGTAGCTCGAAATTCATGCACAAAATTACATGAAATAAAGGATGTTTCTTTTTGTTTTATCTCCCTAATGATCCCTCCGAAAGCGCCTCCAAAACTGACCCGGATTCCATTCACCACTTTTGTTAAGTCAGATGCAATATAAAGGTGTTCCAAGTTTAGATCTTCTGCAAGTGATGACGCTTCCCTACATGCTATTGCTTCTAGAGTGAGACCTGACCACACGGTATTGCTTCTAGAGCGAGACCTAACCACGACTCGCTTGCTGGGAGCTGGTACTGGGCCAGCCCAGTAACCGCGGGCCATGTCAAAAACAATGTTTATACAATGTAAAAAAATGTTTCTGTATTTCAAAAAAAATGATTCGTAAATTTAAAAAATGTATTTTACATTTAATAAAATGTTCATGAATTTCAAAAATATGTTCGTGACATTTCAAAAAAAATTGTACAATGTAGAAAAAATTGCATAGTTAAAAAATAGTTTTTTATCATACAAAAATTGTTCCAATGTGCATTTCAAAAATTCTTAACATGTATTTGAAAAAAACGTTCAAAACATTTTTTTGTAAAAGTGTTAATCATATATATGAAAAAACATAAAACATGTATAAAAATTGTTTTAGATGTATACAAAAAATATACAGCATGTATGAAAATAAATAGACATTAAAAGATCTATTGGAAAAAAATGTTAATCATGTATGCAGTGTCATATAAGGGATTAAGGGTCAAAATTGTTCTATTTATCGAGTTCAGAGAAAAAAAAAGTAAATCTAAAAAATGAAGCATCCCGTTCATCCTCCAACTACCGAACTCGATAAATAAAACCAGGTGCCGAATTACCAGCAAATAATAGCTACCTGGAACTGGCAGAAGAAAATCAGTAAATAAAGGTGAGTACGCTGCTGGCACCATTACGTGTTTGCTGCAACCGTGTTGGGAGAGGTAAGCAGCAGCTATCACCGTTGATGGTAGTTGGCATTGGCTGAGTGCTCACCGTAGGAATATGAGTTGCCGGCAGGGCGTTGCTGTGAACTCCCATGGTAACTGGCTCCCCACCAGTGATTGAAGGATGGACTGGGTGCCTGGAAACAAACAGCAACTTCTGTTCAGTTTTACTGTAGGTAACAGGACAAAAGCGGTACAACATAGCAGACATGAATAATTCCATGTTTTTAACATGTTACTCCCTCTGTATCAAAACATAAGATGTTTTTTGACACCATGACAGTGTCAAAAAACGTCTTGAATTTTGATACGGAGTGAGTATATGACAATGAATTAGAATAAAACACAGTGTCGAATGTTTTAGCAGTTCCTCAGTGAATTCTAAGCGCATTTATAAACATGGTGCCCATGATTGATTTTCTTGAACTTTCTAATCATACAGCACAAGGAGGAGAATGTTGTAGCAGTTCCTACGGGCGCAGGTCGACTGAGGACACGGGATCATATATCATAAAATTCACAAGTTTCTTTACCTGATGAGGTCCAAATGCTCTGCTAGGTGCCGTCTGTTGCTCCTGCGTTAGTGGCTGCTGCGACAGCGGCTGATAATTGTCGTAGCTACACATGTCAGGACAAGGGCCCGTGGCGCATACATAGGGTTGCGGCAGGGTCCGTCCCACACGTTGAAACATTGTGGTGGCGATGGCGGTGGCTGGAGTGGCACGTTCTGGTTAATGTTGATGTATGATGATCAAATATGGGAACATGGGAAACAGTGCATTTGAAACGCAGCATACCAGAATGTTTTGAGGGGGCATGACATTGACGGGTACCCACCGTAGCCGGGCTCCGCGCACCTGTTGAAGCATAGCTTTCAGAATATTCGATGGTTTGATGGTGTAAAACAGATCAACATATGGCACGGATCTTCAAAGAATAGTGTTCTCATAACACAGTAAGATAAGAAACCTGCCTTGGACGTTTGTTCTTGGATTCATATGAATCAGGCTCACCGACGCAGAACTACGGACACGAGGGAGGCAACTTTAGCCGGTGGGAATTCTTTGAAATATGAAAAGCAGGACATGATAGAAAAATACTTACAGGCGTATTATTTGGCTCATTTGCGGAGCTGCCCTCTGCGTGATCTGGATTGCTGAGACTTTAATGCCTACAAATAACGAAAAAAACTCATAAGCAATGCCATAGTAGTCATAAACCGGGACTCCGTAGGCATAAACCAGACAGGCATCTATACAAAGATTAAGATATATCCATAAAGGCAAGATAGAAAAACCAGATAGCCAACAACATTGTGTCATTGTGTGTAGCCACTGAAAGGGTCTAAGCAGCAAACAATAAAATTCACAAGTAACAAGCATGTTGATATAACAAGAGAAAGCCAGCAACAATTACGTGGAGTCATTTTCAGATGGTTCGCCAATGCGCAGGGATGGCATATTTGCTGCCAAGGGCGGCATCCTCCAAAAGGGTGCTCCCCGGGTGCTTCCACTTTCAGTGTCTTCTTGGCAAGATCCACAGCAATCACCCATCTACTTGAATCAGTCAAATGCCTGGATAATTTGAGGTAAAGAATGGCATTACCATCTTCGCACAGGGTGGGCCAAGCCGAGTACAGGTTCCTGGATGGCATGATTCTAGTGGATTCATCATTCCCTTGGCCTGACCGTAACGCCGTGTCATCGACCGAAATGTCATCAACATCGACGATGCTTCCCTTGCGCCAGCAGTCGGACCCTAGCTCCCTGGTCCATGTCATGGCGCTCCAACCGTCCACCGTGCGCAGGATCTTGGGCTTGTTCTCCACACCTTTGCTCTTGCTCAGCTTGATCAGGTCTGAATCGTAGAGCACATCCTTGTCCCTGGGGTCCAGCGGCGGCTCTTCTTCTCTGATCTCTGTCACGATCACACGCTGCTCCATCTCCACGAACTTGATGGTACCATCGACGCAGCAGGCGACATCCCGGAATTGCTTCAAATAGGTATCTTGTCTGTTCTCAGGCAATGGCGCCGGCAATGGGATGTAGCGAGCGTGGAGGGGTCCCTCCTGATCCTGAGAGCATTTTCAACAGCCGCGCTAAGCGCCGCGCTAAGCGCCGCGCGCAAAAAACCTGTTTATCGCGCGCGCTGCGGCTGGTTTTGCATGCCCGCCTGCGCTGGCTTCAGCAGCCGCGCTATAATGCAGCGCGCGCGCCGCTCCAGCAGAGCACAAAAATACAGCGCGCACGACTCGCCGGGCATTTTGCATATATGATATTTTAGACAAAAATGAACATGTGAAATTTGACACAAACAAGTTGATGAATAAAAGTTCATGCCCACAAGTTCAAAATCATGCCCACAAGTTCATCCAACCAAGTTCAAATGCAAACTAAAGTTTAAGACATGAAAGACACATCAATCTTCATCTTCCTCGTCTTCGTCTTCGTCCTCATCTTCCGAAGACGACTCTTTCGCCTCCGAAGATGAATCTTACTCCCTCTCCCCATCACGCACTGCATCACGCACCACGTCATGTGAAGCTCCGACGATGTTGGCAAGATCTTCAACGGCATCTTCATGGGAATGTGTGTGAGAAGACACATCAAAAGACATTGCACCCATGGCGGCCGGAGGTGCACCCATGCCTCTCATGAAAGAAGCAAAACTCATGCCTTCCATGGCGGCCATGGCGTCGGAGGGTGCTCCAAAGCCACCCATGCCTCCTATGGCGGCCGGAGGTGCACCCATGCCTCCCATGGCGGCCGGAGGTGCACCCATGCCTTCCATGGCGGCCGGATGTGCACCCATGCCTCCCATGGCTCCGAAGCCACCCATGCCTCCCATGGCACCGAGGCCACCGCCACCCATGGCGCCGAGGCCACCGCCACCCATTGCACGAACCAAGACTCTTTTTTGGATCAAGACTTCTTATTGGGCAAGATTGACATACTCTTTTTGCGCCGCATTGAGGTTAGATGTGTTCAAGAAGAACAAGTGCTTCTCCCATTCCAACAACTTAGCTCACTCCTCGTTGCTCACTTTCCTCTCCTCCAAAGCCACCTTTCTCTCCTCGGCCGCCACCCTTCTCTCCTCGGCCGCCAACCTCCTCTCCTCGGCCACGGCATCTTGGTTCCTTGCCATTTTCCTCACCTAATTGGCTTCGACCCTTGCCTTCACAATAGCTTCC